CCCCAAAACCCCAAAACCCCAAAACCCCAAAACCCCTTAAGAGTTCATCAGATATTTTATAACGAAACTTTTAATTAAAAATATTTATAGTGCAAAATGGAAACAAGTTTTGAAAATCCTTTTGGAGATCCTATCAATTATAATTAGCATCATTCTCAGAATAATGGAGGTCTTGCCTATGATATAAATGACTAGTCATTTCCAAATCAATGATAGATGAAAGGACTAAATTAGTTCCTTAAGGATGATGATGATGAAGATAATTTACTAGAGAATAATTAGCTCTTCAATACTTAAAATCTTAACAAAAAACTTTAGGAAATTCAAAATTCACAAAATGATCCTTCGAAGTTGAAATCACTTAATTCATTTGGAGGACTTATCAAACCAATTGACAAGTAGCCCGCAAAGAAGAAAATCAAAGCATTTAATATGTAAGTACTTCTTTTGATAAATTTATTTATGATATAGAAACAATATCAGTTTTTAACCAGGGTAAAACTAGATGCCAAATCCATTATAAGGATTAGGCGTCTTGAATAACAAGTAATTTAATGTCAATGATATTATTGGAAAGCAAGAGACTCTAAATCCCAATAACTTTACTAGCAATCCATTTAATGAAGAAATAGAAGAATATAAGAGTAAGGCAGTAAAGAAAAATGCAATAAATGGAAATAGCAATCAAAATTAGGATCAACCTGATAATTAAAAGTTAAGTCTAAAGACTAACATATAATCTTCTTAGAAATCTGATATTTAGAGAGTAGCCAGAAATGTACAAATGCCAAATTCTGCTCAAGTATCAAGATAGAATTCAATGGAAAATCTAAATAAATCTTTAGAGCAGGAGGAATCGGAACCTGTTGTAAAAAAGAAATTAACAACTAATGGTGGGGAACCCCCTAAAAAAAGAATAATTAAAAAGATAATCAAAAAGAAAAATGCTGATGGATCAGAGGCTGTTTCTGAGGTCAAAACTATAGTTGTTGGAGGAGATGGTCAGAGATAAGAATTCAATTAGGCACAGTTATAATAAGAAGAACTTAAACAGTAATAGTAGCTAGCTGTGCTGAGTCCACCAGAAATTGAGCAGACACAAGTTGTGAACTTATAAAATTAGTTTGCTGAGGAACCTAAGAAAAAGGTCAAGAAAATCATTATAAGGAAGAAAAAATTATAACAATCAAATCAAGAAGAATTGAAAATTGACTAAACTACAATGAGCAGTTCATTCATTTAAAAAGAATAGATTCAATTTACTTCTCTCAATGAAAAAATTGAATAGCAAAGATAAGAGGAAATTAGATAGTAGGAGGAGTAGATAAGACAGTAAAAGGAGCTTAATACTAGGCTACTTAAGGAATAATAATAAAAACTTGAAGAAGAGCGGTAGAGGCTGAAGTAATTAGAGGAGTTAAAAATAGATGAAGAACTAAAGGCAAAAAAACTGAGGGAGGAAAAAGAGAAGAAAAAAAGAGAGAAAATGGAGGAAGAAGAGAAAGCTAAATAAGAGCAGGAGGAATTATAGGAAAAACTTAAGTAAATGAAGAAATAGCAAAAAGAAATAAAAAAGAAGCAGTAGGAAAAACAGAAGTGGATGGACAACTAAGAGACTATTTCAGATTAGGATGAAGTTGAAAGCAAGCATAACATATCAGAAAGTAGTGCTAAGAATAAGAATGAAAAAGAGGAAGGAGAAGAATAGGGTTCTGAAGAAGAAGATGAAAATATTGAAGGCGAAGAAAGTGAAGAAGAAGAAGATGAAGAAGGTGATTCCGAAGAAGATGATAATTCAAGAAGATAAAAATTATTGCAACCTTAGGCGCCTTAGTACCTTGCTTTAAAAGTTGCTATATGCAATCCAGCTTGCTATAAAGCATTCATTGAAGGATTGTTACATGGATCTAATCCTAAAGAAATTATAATGAATCCTATACCTCTGTCAGTTGGGATGCTTAGATTTTCAATTGAGAGACATAGATCAGGATTCAACAGACTTCATCCTTCTTATTATTTATTTATGGAAAAGTAAGGTGGAGGTAAGATATAAGTACTTTATGCTAAGAAAAGAGCATTTAATAAAACTGCTAACTATTTAATTTCAATAGAAAAGAATAAGAAAACTAGAACTAATGAAATATGCCTTGGCAAATTAAGAGCTAACCCTGAAGGAGATTAATACATTTTATATGATAACGGTGAGAATTTCTCCAAAGGAAGCAAATTTAATTAGAATCAGATTAGAAACGAGCATGGAGTTTTCTTATTCAAATATGAGCCATGTAATATTGGGAATATAAGAAAAATGGTATCAATTCTGCCCTCATTGATATATACTTGCATTCCAGATCAAAATAATCCAGATTTAGCTTTGGCATACGGGAGAGATTAAAATGGAAATTTGGTGAGAATGATTCAAAGGGAATGGAAACCGCTAAAAGAGAATGACACACTTTTTGAAGTTTTTCATAAGGATGGAATCAGGAATGTAAACTATTAAATATTTGTTGACAATCCACCTACTTGGAATCCAAGTATTTTTCATCATTATTTATATAATTATAGAAACAAACACATATGTTTATGATTTTAAGGGTAGAGTGTCCCAACCTTCTATAAAGAACTTTCAACTAATACCAGAGTTAGATGGAAGAAAGAAATAAACTCTTAAGGATTTTGTATTATAATTTGGAAAGACTGGCAAGAATGACTTCATAGTTGATGTGCAATATCCTTTCTCTATTTTTTAGGCATTCGGCCAAGCTCTCTCTTCTTTTGACACTGATTGACCATTAGATTAAATACTATTTTAATTTAAATTTAATTTATCTTTCAATGTACCGATTATCTAATAATGGGGTTTTGGGGTTTTGGGGTTTTGGGG